TGGTTATATAGGGATATGCAGGGGTTATATAAGAATATACTTGCGCATAATATAGGGTTGAGGGGTTGGGGTTTAAGGCTTTGGGTTTAGGTTTAGGTTTCAGGGTTTAGGGCTTGGGGTCTAGGATCGGGAGTTGAGGATGGCCTTGGGGGTTGAAAAAGTACGTACCTGTTCAGCATTTGAATAGGGTTTTTGCGGCAGCTTGTTATGTTATAGATCTATAAGGGCTATAAACCACTGACACTCGTAAATCTTCTGGCCCCAGCATATTGTGGCTACAAGTTTCAGATTCAGACTGTAGTTATGGGCCCGGCTCCTCAACCGGCTATCAGTATAAACTATAACCTTGCATATATCCCGTATCGGCCTTGAAGACTAGTGAAAACAATTACATACATCCCTTGATACCCTGTCTGCCCCACTCTAATGCTTTATGCCCCTAAGCCCTCACGCCCTGCACCCTAAACTCTACATTCTAAACCCTAAACCCTAAATCCTGAACCCTACATCCCAAACCCTAAATCCTAAGCGCTAAGCCTAAGATCCTAGACCCTAAAACCGTCAATCCCTCACCCGATGCCCTAAACCCTGAACCACAGGCGGGTTTAGAGCCGAAACCCTAAACCCTAAACCGTAAATCCCTAAACCCTAAACTCCTCAAACCCTAAAACCCTAAAACCCTAAACCCCAAACCGTAAAACCCTAAAACCCTGAAATCCCTAAAACCCTAAATTCCCAAAACCCCAAAAAACAATGGCTCAGTGGCAGGGAGGCAAGTTATACGCAGCCCGGAGAGGCGCCCAGTTGTCTCCAAACTCCTTGGAAGGGCTTGGGGTTTGGGAGGGGGGGTTTAGGGTTTAGGGTTGAGCGTTTAGGGTTGAGGGTTTAGGGTTTAGGGTTGAGGGTTTAGAGTTTAGGGTTTAGGTCTAGGTCTAGGGTTTAGGAGGGGGAGTGAAGAAGTTTTTTTGGGGACAATTTGGGCATGTTGTCTTGTCCTCGTTTTGGGCCGTCAACCCTAAAGCCTAAACCCTAAACCGTGCCAAACCCTAAACCCTGAACCCCAAAAGTATGTAAAATAATGGCCTTTAGGGCTACTATTATGGGTTTGGGGCTATTATTTTACATACTTTTGGGGGTCAAGGAAACCCTGAACCCCAATTCCGAACATCTTGTAAATATGGTGCAACTGGTACCGGGTGAGAGCAGTATCCAGGACCTTCCCAGACCCCGAAAGGGATCTAAAAATCAGATCCCCTAGAACCATATGGGAAATCATAGGGGGCTATTCTGTGTCTATATAGGGGTTTCCCCAAATTGGGGGTACCATTTTTGGGGGGTCCTTCTAATAGGGAGTATAGTGTTTTGGTGTCTATATTAGGATCCTCTTATTTTGGAAAACTATCATATAGTCATATAGGGGATCTAATTTTTACATCCTCCCAGGCGTCCCTAAGCCCTCAACCCTAAACCCTTTCCAATCAACTCGACCCGAGATTCTCCGAAGACGTAGCGGTTCTCCTCCGCGTTCTTGCCTTGGTCGGCCTTTGGAGCCCTTTGTAAAGCATTAGAATTTAGAATTTGGGGTTTAGGGTTTTAGGGTTTAGGGATGACGGCTTAGGTATTACCTAAACCCCCAAAAGTATGTAAAATAATGGCCTTTAGGGCTATTCTTATGGCTTTAGGGCTTTACATATTTTGGGGGGGCGGCTAGGTAGAATTTAGGGTCCTTATGAAACCAATAAGCGAACATACTCGAAACCCTACATAGAGGGTCAGGGGGACTTAATAAGTAGGTGAATCATTGGGATAACTCGGGTTACTACGTGGGTTATAGGGTTATTCGCCTACTTACTAAATCTCCCTGACCCTCCCAGTAAGCCCTAAACCCTATGTAATCCCAGTTGCTAATTGGTTTTGGCAACCAGTCCCGTAGATACTCCGCTAGCGACATCTCGAACGTGCCAATGCGCTTGCTGCCAGCTTGGCTCGGAGTGCACGTGACGTTGCCCATGGAGCTTAGGAGCACGTCGTGCTCCAAGCTACGTCTCATTTCCTGGGTTGCTGTTAAGGAACTTAAACTAAGTTACTATATTGAGGAAACCCTATTATTTACTATATATACCCATTATGATAACTTAATTTAAGTTCCTTAACAGCAACCCAGTTTCACTGTTCCAGCTTCGGGGAACCTTCACTACATAGGGCTCCTCAGGGAGTGGCAGGGGTCCTTGCCCACGAGGCCACAGAATGCGCTTAATTGTGCAACGTCTTTGCCAGGGAAGCGCCCCGTCATCAGGTTCAACAGCAGTAGGCCCAGTGGAGTCAGATGGACAGCTATCTCCGTCGTGGCGTCTCCGTTTGCTGTCCAAATGTGCAGATGCCATGCCAAGACAGCAGCAAATGCCCAGCATCCGCAAGCTGCTCGTCATGAACGCGGCGTTGAGACATGCACGCGCGGGCTTCTCACAAAAGGGGGAGCCCTCAATCGCTTGGGAGACATGGGAATACAAAGAAATGTTTTCTGTAGTCTCCTTACACCTACTATAAAAATATTTTCAATAAAAAAAATAGACATTAAAAACAATTGAGCGCTACAGGTTTTGGGAGGTTCTTACCGCACTTTCGAGAAAGTTTTCACCTACCAACTCGAGGAGCCAGGACACGGTTTTTGGTCGAAATCACATACCGCACACCCCGAACTCCAAACCCTTGCCCTTCAGCTTCAACCTATACTCTAAATCCTAAACCGTAAACTCTAAACCCTACACTCTAAACACCAAGTCCCTGCCTAAGCGCCATCATGTTTAGAGTTTCATGGTTGGGGTTGAAGGCATTGGTTTCCTGATTTTGCTTAAGCCAGTCCAAAGCACAAGCAACCTCGAGGTTCATAGGCTTTTGGTTTAGGGTCTAGGGTT